CTATTAAATCATTCACGTCTACAATACGTACAAAGGCCTTGTGTACATATTTTGCATTTGTGTACAAATCCACTGTTGAAGTACCCCTGCGTAAAAAGCGGTATCCTTCATCTGAAACACCAGTCTGTTCATTTCCTTGTGAAGCATTGGACTGTTCCTTGGCAAGCCTTACATTTATTTTTCCGTAATGTGTGTATGCTGAATAACAGAGTTTGTGCCATTTTAGATTAGGGTTGCCGTCAGGAGATTCTTCAAAGAGGAACGGAAGCCTGTCTACAGGTGACCGAACTTTGCAATGTTTCAATTTGTGCCTGAGCTGGGTGGCCTCAAGAATGGCTTAGATGCCCAGTTCTAACTGGTTGTAGAAGGTATTTTTAGACTGACTGGTTTCCTGACATATGCAACAAAGCTCAAATGATAAACCTTGGCCTGTGAATAGAAACAAACTTACACCAGTGCTACGTATATACCGCCACTGATGACCTCTCCTGGTACACACACACTGCACCTTTTGAATGAAAAAAGTACCAGTGCAGTGTGTAACTAACACAATCCTCCGGCACAAAGATTCCTAAAACCAAACATGTGATAGCAAAGTCTTTTAGTACAGCCTCGATCCTTCAGTCATAGCACATGGCTTGTATGCATTCATTTTCCACCTCGCCTTCATCTTCATACTATGTATTTGACACATTATCGGATAGGGTTCCCACCTGTTCTTGTGATTTCCTGAACTGTTCTGTGGGTAATTATGTTGCTAAAATCATTAATCAAACTAACTGCATGAATGAAAGCAGTTTCATTTGACATGCATGTGAAGCAGTATAAAAGCATTCGTGTGGCATACATGTAAAAATGCCTATCGCATCCTGTCACACTCATTAACCTTTGAAGTAATTATGCGCATAATATGCAAATTTTGTGATCTAAACAGTTTGCCTGGAATATAATTCTGTCAACAAAAGGAAAAGATTCAGCCTTGCTTTGCATTTTGAGCAAAAATGCTTGTAAAAAGTAGCTCTTCACCCAAAAACTAAAAGTCGCTCCATAAGGGAGATATTTGCAAAAATACGAAATTTTTCCTTCAGCATTTCCATGAAATCCAACATTTTGAAATCCTGTGGTAACATTATTAATCAATATATTGTAAAATGAGTTCATTGTATGGATGGAGAATGATAAATAAAACACTTTTTAAAAAAATTGAATTTTGCACTCATTGACCTTTGAACCCAATTTGTGACCTTATTAGGCATTTTTGAGCTTAGCAAACAACAGATTCGTATTCAGCACGAAAAACTACCCCAGAAAATGTTGTTTGCTTGCTTTTACTCAAAAACGCCTCATGCATTCACATTTCTTAGAAATGTGACTAGTCTAATACAGGGATAACATTTATGCATGTGTGTATATTTTTGTAGCTGTGTTTGGGACATAACACACTGTGGTCATGTTTGAATCAGTCATACCTTGTGAACCTTACCGAGAAACTCAAGAATGATCCTGTATATATAAAAGAAACATGGTACATACACCAGTACACACATTCTTCTGTAGGTCGATTATAAAGTTTTGTTGAGTGGTGTTTGTTGTTTAATGCTGCAGACAGCAAGATTCCAGCTATATAGTGGCAGTCTGTAAATAATCGAGTCTGGACCAGACAATCCAGTGATCAACAGCATGAGCATCAATCTACGCAATTGAGATACAATGTGCAAACCAGGCCCCAATTTCTCGAAACAAACTTAAGTTTTTACTCAAATTTCAAACTGAGTTTGACAATTTGAAACAGCTGAATTTTTAACTCAACTGCATTTTTTAAATAAAGAAAGACCAAACAACTTCAGTAATCTATCCACCAAACTCAAATTGTCTACTAAGTTTGAGTTTAATATTGATTTCAGTTTATTCTGCATTTTCCTGCGTTTTCTCAAATTTGAGTAAAAACTCAGACTTAAGTCAAAACTCAGACTTAAGTTTGTTTCGAGAAATCGGGGCCAGGTCAGCAAGCCTGACCACCTGATCCTGTTAGTCGCATCAGTTGCAGAAGGCCAATCATAACCCAGATCTTCACAGGTGGAGGGGTGTTGGTATGCCAGTGAGTACCTTTTCTGATGTTTGTCTGATGACCAAGTGCTGCAAAGTAGTGGTCCTTGATCATGCCTCATCAACTAAACATGAGTTTGAGTTTCAGATTTAACCAGATTATGACCCTTCCTTTATACAATCTGTATACTTGTGAGTTTCTCTTAATTGATAAACAATTAAGGCTTCTCTTCCACATCAAGCTGACATCCTGGGTTAAACGAAACTGATTCACAGTTCCCTTGTTAAAGGTTGGCCTCATGTCAGTATTTATGTAGCCTACTCCAGGCTGCAACAAGTAATAAAACATAACTCAAACTCATTTCATTACTTTCTTTATATAAAACATGATCTATTAAAATAGAACTTTTCACCAGATATAAATACTAGATTATGATACAGAAGGGACATGTATGCAATGTAAGGACAATTTTCACAGCAGGTGTAGACTCTGTGTAGTTCATCTCTTCAAACATGATTACAGAAGGTTTTAACACAAAAATCTCAGTTCTGATTAACAGTGTATTCATATGCCTTCTAAACATCACACTCTGTCCTCCCCTTTCATCACACACACACACACACACACACACACACTCTGAATATACATTTTACAAGGCTGATGTTAAATTATATCATCTAGTTCCAGAAGAGGCTCTGGTCACCTGGTAACTTACATTAACAATCAAATGTTGCAGATTAGCTGTCAAATAGTAGCTCTTTTTTCTATCCTACTACCAGTTTTCTATTACATAACTAGGATTCATGAATTCATAGCATTCAACTAAAGGTTTATGCTGATTTTGCACATTCTTTTGAAGTTCTCAAGTGTACTAGTAACTGAATATTGTGGAAGTCTTTACACCCCTTGTTCACATCATTTTCCTTTGAAAACACTGTTTGGTTTACATGTACTTTTAACAGTATATCTGCCCCAAATAATGAAATGTTGAGTTTCACGCCTTGGTTTTGGGAAGCAAACGTGCAGCAGTACATTCGCAGTACAAATACAGTGTCTACTATAAACACAAGAAGTTGACATCATCAGTATTCATGTTTTACACCTCTCCTTCATGAAGAGAGAAAACAAAACTTCCTAAAGTACTGTCGAAAATAGAAAAAAACTTTTTTTGCATTTTTATCTACAGTTTAAGTAGTTAACATGTGAAAGTATGAAATGTCTGTTAAACTAAGTTTGGCCTAACTACAGTCTCAGTGGTAGGGAGATAGGAAATGTCGAAAAATGACTTTACTGAGGAGAGATTAGTGCAGAAATGAGCAATGCGGGTTTTACAAAGTCCAAAGCGACTTATTTGGAACAGACCATGGCTTTATGCAAATTTGTCAGATTTTACTATATATTTTGAGTAAACATGCTTTTCTGGATATCCTATTACGCATCCCACTGAACGCCCAGTTAGGCCGATGTGGGTTATTTCGACATATGCTATATTCAATTGTGTTAATTTGAGGGATACAGAGTAACAGCCTGAAAAGTTTTTTTTATTTCCGACAGTACTTTAGTAGTAAGTCCAAGCACTATGATAGTAGGCTGTCTACCTGAGTAGTACACACAAGATTGACCACTTGACCAAAGACTTGATTCAAATTGATATCTACAACCTGTGGTATTCACATTTGTCTTGTTTTCACAATGAGTATGATAAGAATAATTCAACTGTTGATAAATCATGTCATTCTAGGGGTGAAAAAACATGAACATCACGGGTCCTTGGCTTCAGTGTAGTAACTGTGATTTCTTTTGTGGTTCTCAAAACTATAAGATATCTTCTGTCTGATACATCCATATCCTGAAGTGATTGTATAGATGAAGTAACGTCATCACCATAACAAAACAAGAATCACAGAGATTATTTACAACTATCACAGAAATAACTGAACATATCAACCTGCTATAAGCATTATTATATGTAATAAAAGCAAATAAAACAAAACAACTATTACTTCTACCTTTGATACAAGAGACATGTGTATCAATGTTCCATGATACTTTTACCCAGACACAGAAACATACACCAGCTGATGTGCCTGAGACTACTGGATTGTCATCAGGGCAAAATGCCAATGATTTTAGTTCTCACTGACAAGTTACATTTGAAGTCGTGTGCTCAATTCTTTAACTGAACAACAATTTGAAACTTGATTTTAAACTGACAGAAATTGTCAAAATAGACATGTTTTCTCTTGTTCAAGTAGGACTAACTACAAAATTTGAGAACCAGTGTATTAAGATTTACACTAGATTTGCACTGTTGACTGTTTATACTACATACGAGATATAAATCAATGTACCCTGATACATTGATTGATTGAGTTTGGTTTTATGCCACGCTCAACAATATTCCAGCTATATGGCAGCGGTCTGTAAATTTTCAAGTCTGGACCAGACAATCCAGTGATCAACATCATGAGCATCAATCTAAGCAATTGCGATACAATGACATACATCAACCAAGTCGGTGAGCCTGACCACCGATCCTGTTTGTCGCCTTTAATGACAAGTATGGGTTACTGAAGATCAATTCTAACCTGGATGTTCACATTGTACATGTCTCCTTAAAAATCTTCACCAATCCCCCTAGCCAAAAATTATGAACGGTCCCTAATGTTCATAAATATATCATTTGTTGGCCTTTGGAGCTGTTTTCACAGGTTGTAATCCTGATGGCGAGACAGTGTTTTGTGACAAAATGAAGTTTTATGTCTTTGCTACGTGCAGATGAACTGTATCTCTTCTGAATCAACTGTTACTATAAACACAAACAATGGATAGTTGTATCAAATGCATCAACAATATATGCACTACCGAACTGATCAATGCCTGTAGCTGATGAATTTCCACACTGAACTGTATCTCCTCTCAATCGAACTATTACTAGAAACACACTACTATGGATAGTTGTATCAAACACAATAACAATATATGCACTACTGAACTGATCAATGAGTGAGTTGGGTTTTACGTCGCTTTTAGCAATATACAGCAATATCACGACAGGGTACACCAGCAATGAGCTTCACACATTGTACCCATGTGGGGAATCGAACCCAGGCCTTCGGCATGACGAGCAAACACTTTAACCACCAGGCTACCCCACTGCCCTGAACTTATCAATGCCTGTAGCTGATGAATTTTCACACTCACAACCCTGAGGCTGTTGGCTCCAATTTGCCCATGAGTCCATATCAGTGAGCAAGATAAACATGCCATGTAGTTCACAAACAAGTCACAACTGTTACTTTCTTCTTGTTCCTACTGAATGTTTATGTTCTGGAATCATGGTCATGGGAATCTGTAAAATCATACTTGTAGAAAAGTGCAAATTATACACAGTAATAATATAAATTAAACATCAGAACTATGAAAAACAGTTACATCTAAGAAATACTCTGCATATTATTTTCAAAAGAATATCATATGCATTCTCTTGTTCAATTGTGTTTGAGTTTACAAATGTGTTTACAACACGTACAATGTTTACAGATCTTACTCGGCAATGAATCCTGGGTCAACCAAACTTTGATTTCTGACTACCTCAGCCTTACTGTTCATAATCTCATTAACCACTGACTAAGTATAATTTGATCTGACACCATGTCCATTGAGGTGGTCTCAGTGAGGAGAACACACTGTGGCATTCCTGTTGGTCTCACAAAGATTTGTAGGAGTAGATCTGTTGTAATGAAACTGGGATTCTGGAAAAGATTGGACTGTGAAACTCCGTAAGATTGGACACAGTAACTTGGGGAGCGCTCACAGTATCAATCACTGGTTTTGATTGTTATTTATTTGTTGCAGACATATTGCAAGAACATTGCAAATGCATTGTTGACAAACAAACCTCTCACTTAATGACTATATAACTCCTGTATGAAGAAACACACCAATTCTGTGAAGACTGGTGGAAGCTTATGTTACCAACATCATGGTTACTATGGGAGATCGAGTGAATGTAAAGTATATACTTTGACTCTAATCAAGTAACCATGGTAGCCTGTGATCCATTTATATGCAACTATTATGTGGTTTTATTGCTGCACTCAACTGTTGTAAGCTGGTACACAATAAAGTCTGGATCAGACAATGTGGTGACTGGTATTATGTTTCCATTCCACTGTGGTACAATCAATCAGATCACTGAGCCTGACCACCATATTGATTTCATCATTCTGTTCTCTTGTGGTTTAATAGCACAGACAGCAATCAATCATAACATCAAAGCAGACTACCTGATCTGTTTCTCCACCTCTAATGACGAGCATAGGTTACTGGGGACGTATCTAACTCAAGTCAAGACATGGAAGTTGTCCAAGACCTTTTCTAACATGGAAGCACCATGGGGTACGTACACTCAACACCCCCAAAAAGCCCATTGTTTATATTTTCAGCTAATATGGAAACCCAAAATATCACACAAAACTGAAGGTGTCACACATTACCCTATGCCCAAACAACAGAATGCACAAGTCCTAAGATTGAACCAGTGTATGAAAATAGCCAAAACCCCAGCCAGACATCAGGGCTGGTAACTTCAAAATGTTACCAGACCAGACACCAAGATTTGACTTAGATGTATATAATATCTCAATTTTTACCAGACCATCGGGCTGGCTAGCTGTAAATCTAGACCGTCTGTCTGAAATCTAACCCGTCTTGGGCGGTCGGATTGGCCTTATTTCATACACTGATTGAACACACCATAGACTTAAATTTGGTGCTCTACACTTAGGCAAACACAACCAGCCATCTGGCTACAGAAGCACGTAGTGGGAAAGCAGACCTGAGACATGAGACCAAGCAGTTTGGGGTGAAATGGGTGTGACAAACCTGTGGGAAGATGGTTGATAGCCTTTGTACTGTTACTTGTAAAGTGGCACCCTCTGGAGGACATTTTTCTGTACAACTAGAGAGCAATAGACAACGCTATAAGTACAGAAGATAACATGAGAAACAGATTTTGTCTTCCAGTGAACATAACCAACAATCTGAATGTGAATCTTGAATGTTAAGGATATTCATTTGCTACCTTAGTCTAAGTTGGAACTTTGAGTATGTCAAGCGGTGATGTTTGGTGCCAGCATATAAGATCTAAATACTACATCTCTGCAAATAATCTTGGTGCTACTGAACAATTTCATTTTTGGATATCGAGTACCTGAGTTGTTTACACCATACACAAGCTACCTCCATGCTGGCACATACTGCAGATATCAGTGCCAAGATGCCCTGAAATGAGATATCTGAAGCAAGAACTGAAATGGGTATTCAAGTACTCAATGTCATTTGTTCCCAAGAGGACAAACTGTCTGCTGCTTGCTGCTGCTGCTGCTGCTGCTGCTATTGTTAAAGCTACTGCTTGATGCCATTTGTTTCCTCGAGGTGTGCTCCTGTGTCTGCACTGCCACTTGACTTTGTTCCCTTCCGGACCAAGTTGTCTGTGACTGCTTTCTCTTTGATCAAGGAGTCTGTGACTGATGTTTACTGTTGTCCTTTCTCTCCATGACCCAGTTGTCTGCTGCCCCTACTAGATGTCATCTGTTTCCTTCAGTGCCAAGTTGTCTGTGACTCCTTCTTCCAGGACTAAATCGTCTGCTGCCACTGATTAATATCATCTGTTCTCTCCACTACCAAGTTGTCTGACCTGTTGATTCAGCATTATGTCATCTTTGCCTTCAAGGTCTGTTTCTTTGTCTTCAGTTACTGCTTGATGTCATCTGTTTCTTCCAGGACCGAGGCATCTGCATCTGCATCTGCTGGGTCAGCCATCTTTACCTGGCTCTGCTTAGTCCACAGATGGCTGTACAGACTGTTGGGATCGGCCAGGAGGCTGTAGTGTGTCCCTTGCTCCGCCACACGACCTTTCTCCAACACCAATATCATATCTGCATCAACAACAGTTGACAGTCGGTGAGCGATCACTACTGTGGTCTTCCCTTTCGTTACCTCACGAAGTGCTGATAGAATGTTCTGCAATAGAATTAGTTCAGTGTCTTACTTCTAAGAAACTTTAGTGAAACTGAAATTTAACAGTTTTGCCATAAAAGGGAGACAATCAGGTGTGATTCAGATTTTAAGCACTGCCTGAAATTCTGCCTGACGTCTCTGTTTCACACAACACTTTGATGGGAAATGGGAACCAGGCCATGGAGGATGGCCTAGAAACCTAGAAGCTTATTCTGGGCGAACAAACCTAGAAGCCGAGGGACATAAATATGTTACCTGTTCTGTGATTGTGTCCAGGCTTGAGGTAGCTTCGTCATAGATAATGATGGGAGGGTCCTTCATGATGGTCCTGGCAATGGCTACCCTCTGCTTCTCTCCCCCTGAGAGCTTGAGGCCCCGCTCTCCAACCTGGGTTTCATACTGATTAGGGAATCGGGTCATAATGGCATCATGCAGTTCCACCATCTGGGCAGCGTTGTGTACATCTGTCTCAGACTTGGTCAGATCACCATAATGGATGTTGTTGAAGACAGTGTCATGGAACAACACACAATCCTGGAATAAAATAACAGGTAATTTAGTCGGAGGTGAGACTGACTGGGTTTGGTTTTACGCCGCTTTTAGCAATATTCCAGCAACATCACGGCAGGGGACACCAGAAATGGGCTTCACACATTGTACCCATGTGGGGATTCGAACCCGGGTCTTCCGCGTGACAAGCTAACGCTTCAACCATTAGGCTACCCCACCGCCCCCAGAGGTGGGAGAAAAACTGTGACATCTGTTTTCCCATCTGAGGAACAACTATCACTGTTTGACACCCTCTGCCCTACCTGAGGAACGACTCCTATAGCTTTCCGAGTGCTGTCCAGATTCAAGGATTTTATGTCCTGCCCATTGATCAGAATACGTCCCTGGTCTGTGTCAAAGAAGCGGTACAGCAACCTCACAATGGTCGATTTTCTGGATTAGAAAAGAGACATTGTTAACAAGCGTACAGAAAAAAGTGAAAAGTGAGAGATGTAAAGTCAAGTAGATGGTAAACCAGCAAAACATCCACATCAAACATCAAAGAGGCCCATCCATTGCCACCCTTTCCTGCTGACTCACAACACTCACTGATCACTGAACCACACCCACTGATCACTCACGTACATCCATGGATCACTGAACCACACCCACTGATCACTCACGTACATCCATGGATCACTCAACTACACCCACTGACCACTCACATACATCCATGGATCACTCAACTACACCCACTGATCACACACATACATCCATGGATCACTGAACCACACCCACTGATCACTCACGTACATCCATGGATCACTCAACTACACCCACTGATCACTCACATACATCCATGGATCACTCAACCACACCAACTGATCACTCACATGTACATCATGGATCACTCCACTCAACCACTGATCACTCACATACATCCATGGATCACTCAACCACACCCACTGATCACTCACATACATCCATGGATCACTCAACCACACCCACTGATCACTCACATACATCCATGGATCACTCAACCACACCCACTGATCACTCACGTACATCATGGATCACTCAACCACTGATCACTCACGTACATCCATGGATCACTCAACTACACCCACTGATCACTCACGTACATCCATGGGTCACTCAACTACACCCACTGATCACTCACGTACATCCATGGGTCACTCAACTACAACCACTGATCACTCATGTACATCATGGATCACTCAACCACTGATCACTCATGTACATCATGGATCACTCAACCACTGATCACTCACGTACATCCATGGGTCACTCAACCACACCCACTAAGCACTCACGTACATCATGGATCACTCAACCACTGATAACTCACGTACATCATGGATCACTCAACTACACCCACTGATCACTCACTTACATCATGGTTCACTCAACCACACCCACTGATCACTCACGGACATCCATGGGTCACTCAACTACACCCACTGATCACTCACGTACATCCATGGGTCACTCAACTACAACCACTGATCACTCATGTACATCATGGATCACTCAACCACACCCACTGATCACTCGTACATGACTTACCCTGAACCGCTGCCACCAACAACAGCTACCTTCTTCCCTGATGGTACAGTAAATGACAGACCATTGAGAATCTTCTGTCCCGGAACATATTCAAAATACACATCCTCAAACGTGATGGTGGACTCAGAGGGTGTGATGCACAGTGATGGAGCATTGAGATCATTCTGTGGGACAAAGCAAGGAGATCCATTTGGGTTGGATAGAGACTATTCTGTGGGACAAAGTGAAGTTTGTATGTGTACCTGCATAGGAACTCCCATCAAACATGAATTGTTCCCAGCACTAATATGTCATATCGATGTGGAAGGAAAACTTTGAAATGATGCAGGTACAGGGCTCCAGATAATGTTTCAACATCAGGAGTACGTACTGGAAAAACTGAAGAGTACATTTAGAGTACTGAATGGAATTTAATGGAGTATCAGTCATCTTGTGTTTCGTTTCATACATGCACCACAACATTGCTGCTCAAGTGTAAACAGGTCAATAAACAATAAAACAATACTTTTTCAGATAAATATGTCTGTAAATGATTCTAAGACCGTACACCATTGCTGTGGTGCGTATCTGCAGTGTATGAAATAAGCCCAAAATCAAGCCAGACATCAGGGCTGGTAACTTCAGAATGTTACCAGCCCAAATTGGATTTAACCAGACCAAATATGGTGAATTTACTCTGATGTATGGAATGTCTAAACTTATAACCAGACCATTAGGCTGGTAGCTGTAAATTTTGACCGTCTGTCAGAAACCTAGACCGTCTCAGGCAGTCGGACGGGACTTATTTCATACACTGGTATCTGCTACGTTTTCTACATTATTTCCTACCGTATCGTGCATATTTTATATCCGTACATATGCCGATAAAGCCCTTATCTTAGGCCCTGAGGTACTTGGCAAAATTACAGCCATATAGCAGGGACCTACAAATGTAGATCTTGAGCAAATAATCCAATCATTGATATCATGAACAACATGTCTACATCGTTGGGATACGATGATGACACGATCAACAAGGTCAGCGAGTCTAACCACCCAATCTTACCAAAGTTCAAAGTTACTCAATCAATTGCCTCTCACAACCAGCATAGGCTGCTTGTGACCCATTCTAACACAGAAACCCCCTGGCGGAACTCACCATCACATTGGGTGTTATGTTGAGGATACTAAACATGGTGTGCATGTCGATCAGGGACTGGCGAACTTCCCGATACACGGAACCGAGGAAGTTGAGAGGCATAGAGAGCTGGAAGAGGAGTCCATTAACCATCACCAGGTCCCCAACAGTCATAGTACCTGAACAAATGTTATCAGGTCATTAGTGTTTATCTTGCCTCACATATAAATGTCATTTTCTGATTGGCTGAGTGCTCTTCTATTATTTTCAATGTAACAATGTACAAGCAAGTAACATTTTCTATGTAACCCTCTGGGAATGCTGAACTCATTTGGTACTTCATAGTAGTAATTCTTTATCTCGAATAACATTGAATCACGTATGATGTACGGAAATTACCGATGTTTTGCAAATGCAAATCGATGGAAGGGAGATAACTCTAAATTTGTTTTTCTTGTCGTCTGGTACTCCATACTATGATCCGATACCCGTGCTTCAAACAGTTCACAATTACCATTGAGGTGTTCGGTAAGATAAATATGTTGTTCACTGGTCCCTCGGGGCCCATGGCTTGATGTACCCTCGATGTTTGTTTAACATCAGCCCATGTCCCCCTCGAGACCAGTGAACAACTTATACTGTCTACAAGATTGTAACATAAACCTAGACTGAACCCTACATGGATATACTGAAAATTGAAGCTCTTGGGGCAATCAGGTTTCATCATCTGTGAGAGCAAAGGAAGTGAAGTTTCAGTTTCCTTGTTCCAGTGTTTTTTGAGATGATGTTTACAGTGTAAGGAAATAAGTTTAGAGATAATTTAGTAGCTAGTGCAAAGATAAAATAATTTTTAAAAACCCATAGTGGAACGGTTACAAATATGTTTCCAACATCTTGACTACTTCAGTTGTCATCATTGGTATCAAACAGTTTCAGCTTCATTGGTTTCTGAGGAGCTGATGTTGATATTTCATCAGTGTCCCATACAAACCTGCCATTATCTGTTGACTGGACAGCAGCATGATGCCAGTGATTCCGGCGCTGAAGATGGCATTCTGTCCCCAGTTCAACATGGCCAGACTGGTGGTGGTCTTGAGGGAGGCAGTCTCATAGTTCTTCAACACCTTGTCATACTTGTCAGCTTCATACTTCTCATTGTTGAAATACTGGGTAACACATACAATATGATTGCTAAAGCCACAGGATTCCAAAGTTCTCATTTATTTATGAAAATGTTAACCATTTTCCTTTCCAACACTCTCTCTCTGTATCATGATTTGCCTGCCTCACAAACAGTATGTTCCACGATACTGGAGTATCCACAACAGGTCATTACTATTAATGTTTCGTACTTAAATCACATGATCAATTAATTTATGCTTATTTTAACAATTGTATGCAATAAATACTTCTTCAGACAGATGTACCTTCACAGTCTCGTAGTTGATGAGTGAATCAATGGCCATAGATCCTGCTTTAGAGTCTGCCTGGTTCATCTTTACACGAAACTGAGTCCTGCAAACAATGAAACAACCTTCTGCACAGACACCCAATCACATCATCACCTTCTCTACCACCACAAAATGTTCAAAGAATTCATATCTTACCTCAACTGAGCATCTGATTTTAAGTAGAGCTTACCTTCACAGAGCTTCTGATTTTAAGCATAGCTTAACTTCACTGAGTATCTGACTTTAAGTAGATAAAGAAGAGCTCACCTCTGCTGAGAATCTGACAGTAAGTAGAGCTTACCTCCACTGATTGACTGGTTGTAAGCAAATCTTACCTCTGCTGAGCATCTGACAGTAAGTAGAGCTTACCTTCACTGATTGACCGGTTGTAAGCAAACGCTAACTCTGCTGAGCATCTGACAGTAAGTAGAGCTTACCTCCACTGATTGACCGGTTGTAAGCAAACCTTACCTCTGCTGAGCATCTGACAGTAAGTAGAGCTTACCTTCACTGACTGACAGGCAGGGTTCAAGCAAACACTAACTCTGCTGAGCATCTGACAGTAAGTAAAGCTTACCTCTGCTGAGCACTGACAGTTGACACTGATTGACCGGTTGTAAGCAAACCTTACCTCTGCTGAGCATCTGACAGTAAGTAGAGCTTACCTCCACTGATTGACCGGTTGTAAGCAAACCTTACCTCTGCTGAGCATCTGACAGTAAGTAGAGCTTACCTCCACTGATTGACCGGTTGTAAGCAAACCTTACCTCTGCTGAGCATCTGACAGTAAGTAGAGCTTACCTCCACTGATTGACCGGTTGTAAGCAAACGTTACCTCTGCTGAGAATCTGACTGTAATCAAAACTTACCTCAAATGAGAGCCAGATCTAAAGTAGAGCATAAATGTCTGATTCTATGTAGGGTTTCTCTCCAGTGAGTATCTGACTGTAATCAGTAGAGCTTACCTCCACTGTGTGACGAGCAGAGTGAAGAGGGTGTAGGTCCCAATACAACCCAGAGCCACCATGGCATACTGAATCCCACACTTGTAGTACTGCAAGAGTATGTTTATGATTCACAGCAATCACTGGCATTCTTTACAACATATCAGAAAATATTCAACTTTATCATAGATGACATTAACATCTCTATAGGAATATTCCATATTCCATATACACTGAAATCTTGCTGATTTTATATAGCAGAATGTCTACACATTTTTACTTCACATACACAATAGATTCGAACAGTACCTATATAATTTGGGGGGAAATTTAATCTTATGATACCCATACATCTGTTCTTTAATCTCTATAACTTAAGATCATGGTTGAACACAATAGGCAAAACAGAACAATCCTAAGTCACACAAATGTTTATATTTTATCCCGTCACGTTGAAAACACGGGTTTGATTCCCCATTTCTGGTGTCGATGGCCATGATATTGCTGGAATATTGCTAAAAGAGGTGTAAAACCATACTCGCTCACTATTTTATCCACCTTGCATCAAAAGACACAAGTCTTGCCTAATGTTACATATACCATAACAGCGACTCAAGCCTTCCCAACAGATATCATTTGTTTGTTGTTAAATGCCACATTCAGCATTATTCAGCTCTATGACAGTGGTCTGTAAATCCTCCAGCCCTGATCTGACAACCCACAGATTGAATGACATCATGATTACTAATCCACACACATATGCCGACATGCAATCACACGTCACCACCTGACAATCCAATCCATTTAGTCAAGAATGGGGTACTGGAGACCTATTCTTACCCCAATCTTCATGAGGATCCAATATATTATGATAATTGATCACTGGATTGTCTGGTAGAGACCACCACCATATAACTGGAATACTGCTGAGTGCAGCATAAAACTAAACTCAGTCACTCACTCACTATCATGATAACTGGACTCTACAATTTGCCTGAACAAAACCAGTATAGTGAGCAAATGAGTGACTTGGTTTTACGCCGCTTTCAGCAATATTCTAGCAATATTCCAGCAATTGTGGCGTCATTCAGACTTTACGTCACAATATGATTTTAAGGGACACCAGAAATGGGCTTCACACATTATTTACCCATGTGGTTTTCAACCAATCGAACCAGTGACTTTTGGTTTACAATTGGGTCTTCAGCATGACGAAATGGCATTGTACCCATGGGGAATCGAAGCGCCGGCTTTAACCACTAGGCTACCCCACCCCTAAAAAAACCACAGTATAGAATAGAGTATGTATAAATTCCATCATTAGAGTTTATGTTGAAAGAAGGAGCAGAGACCCAAATATGTCCTACCAATATATGATACCTACCAATATGGAGGTTACCAGGGAAACCTCGAATATTGTTGGTGCAACATTGAACACCAGTGCACTCAGAACAAAGTTAATGCCTCTGAAATATATGTAAACAAATAACCATATAAATAACACGCTGACATGGGTATACAATTACACAGCTGTGTATTAAATGTTTCATCCATTTTAAGTGAAATGATTCACAAAGCCAAATGTTACTTTTATTCTGTAATGGAAAAATAATATTTTGGTTTATAGTATTATTATTGCTCTGACACACTAATTGTTTTTAAATTGGAAATGTTAGGATGATAATATATTGAAAAAGCTGCCATTATATAGATGGAATATTGTTTTAATTTTAATAAACAAACAATATGTACAACTCATATGAAGGTAAAAACACCCCACATTTTCATATGGCCATGGCATGCCATGACAAATTAACTATGGTCGTATGAACAAATTTGATGTCATTTCACTTCTTTTACGTAGCAAATGACCTGAACATGTTCAAATGACTGTCAATATTATACATTTATGAAACACCCAATTCTTACATACAACCAAAAAACAATATGATTATACAACAAGCATTGTCACTAAGGTGACATAATCCCTGCCGCAAATTATCAAATGAAACTTAAAAAGTAATGAAAGTGAAGGTCGTAATTCAAGATGAAGTTAAATGTCAACAAAAATATGACCAGTCAACCTCACTTGATATCTTGCTCTGTAGTTGTTCAAACGCACAAATATTTTTAAGACTCACTTTGACCTTGACATGAATGTCTTAGTGTATGAAATATGCAAAAATAGTAATAAAGAAATTGCTTATTGAAAAACATTCAAGGGAAGTCTTGAAAGTCTATGGAGAAAATCCAGTGAACTGTTCTTGAGATATCTCGCTGACAATCTTAACATGCAGTTTAACATGCTGAAATCTTCAAATTGTCGCCGTGACCTTGAAAATTATCTGAAGGTCACCAAAATCAACTGGGCCTTGCACCTTCCCCAGATGAAGCTTGTAGTCATATATGAAGAAAGTCCAGTGAATGGTTCTTGAGATATCTAGCTGACAATCTTTACATCGCGGGTTAACATGCTGAAATCTTTAAAGTGTCGCCGTGACCTTGAAAATTAAGTGAAGGTCACCAGAATCGACTGGGCCCTGCGCCTTCCCTAGATAAAGCTTGGTGTTGAATATGAAGAAATCCAGAGAAGGGTTCTTGAGATATCTCGCTGACAAGGGTAAAAATTTAAAGTCCCCTTGTGACCATGAAATAAAGGTCAAGGTCACCAAAACTGACTGGGGCCTTTCTTTTACTGTTATGAACATACATACCAAATGTGAAAAGAATCCAGTCAACGGTTATTAAGATATTCCAATTCGTATGTATGTACGTATGGACGGACAGAGCCTAATACTATATCCCCCGCTTCAGCTAAACGCGCAGCGGGGGATAAAAAGAAATAGTTAGACAATTGATATGGTATTACATGGGACATAGTTTAGTATTTTATTTATTTTATTTTATTTATTACTCACCCAACATTAGCAAACTAATATTGAGCAAAGTACTTCTTTCCTTAGAATTCAACGAGTGTGATTGACTCTCAGCTTTCCGCGAGTCAAGCAAGGTCTAATACTATTTTGACAGAGGTATTAGCATTGTGACGTCATAACTGTAAACCAGTTTTACGTCATACGATATGGCACCATGTGATGTTATTACACAATGTATAATAACATTGTAAAATTATTAAACAGTGATATCTTCAACGGGTGAGTAATAATATACATTTATGAAACACCCAATTCTTACATACAACCAAAAAACAATATGATTATACAAAAAGAAATAGTTAGACAATGATTTTGAAACAATCAAAGACAAATGTGATCACCTTGTTCCTCGATCTATGGCTTTGGACACAGCACCAGTTTGACGAGAAAGGTGAAAACTAAGGTCAAGGTTATGTAGATGAAGAAATACATTGCGGGCGACACGGCGTATTGAGTTTTGAGCCACTTTGGCAAACACAGCATTGCGAAGCTCATTCAATGCTGAAGCACCTGCTCGGGCTAGACCATCTGAAATGTTGAACAGATGAGGATAACACAATAGGTAGATACCCGTTCTCTTGAATTTCAAATAAATGCAGTACAGGGATTTAACACTGCCTTGAGACCACTTCAGTCCATAAACCTGCCTCCTACTTCAACTAGGATATATTCTTTGAAGAACCTTGACATTTTGAAAAGATATTCTGACTGTATAAGCAAGTGTAACAGACTGTGTTATATAATAATAATTACAATAGAAGACTAGAATAGAGATATGTTAAAATCCTGTTTCTACATTTGTTACTCATTTACAAATATGAATAGTTTACTGATATAAAACCGAACTCAGAATCAGGATTCCAGATAAAAATGAAACCAGTGCTGGTTTTGATTGACAAGAATGGTCACAGATGGCTTTAATTTGTATAAAAGATATTTCTGCTATAAAACAAATTCTACCATAACTTCAGTAATCACTGGATTGTGATTGGTTAATCAAAGTCATTCAGAGGTAAATGATCACGTTATATACCTCTGATTTTCCAACACCGTATGTATTGTGTTTTTAAATGTGGTTATGGTAGAATGGAGATAAACATACTGTGTTGGAAAATCAGACGTATATAATGAAATTATAATAGCTCTAAATTTGATCTCCTAAATCAAGTTTTGAAAAAACACAATTAACTTACAGCCTATTAATAAAGCTGTTGCCATGGTAATAATTGTAGCTGTTGGATCGTCAAGATTTAGCCAGTTACTGGGAGCATTAAGCCAGTCTACTGCATACTTAAAGATGAAAGGCACCTGTACATTCATCACCTGTGGAAGTAAACTGGTCAAAGTCACACATCCTTCATGTTTGACAATATGACCACCTGATCCTCACTGTGCATATTTATCAAGAAATGATTGTTAAATGTGGAACTCAGCAATATTCCATAACAACACCAATTGCCTTATCAGCCAATCAGTAAAGAGTAGTGCATATGAGTGTGTGAGTGTATTTCGTTTTACGCCACACTCAGCAATATTCCAGCTATATGGTGGTGGTCTGTAAATAATCAAGTCTGGACCAGACAATCCAATGATCAACAGCATGAGCATTGATCTGCGCAAATGGGAACCAATGACATGTGTCAACCAAGTCAGTGAGCCTGACCACCCGATCCAATTAGTCGCCTCTTACGCCAAGCATGGGTTACTGAAGATCAATATTCTAACCCGGACCTTCACGGGTCTAGTGTATATGAGGGCATGATGTAATTTTGAGGGGTTTCTTGAAGCAAAACATGTTGCCACAGAAATACTTGCAATATATTTAGGACACAATAAACCTGTGTAAACATGGTACAGTATGGTTCAAAGTTCTGCTCACCTTGGACCCAACAAGAAGCCCGACTGCGATCACAACTCTAGCCTTGATTCCAGGTTTGTTCTTGGGCCAGATATAGGTCATCATGGCCTTCACTATGTCCCATCCACTAACTTCTTTTTTAGTAGAATTAATTTCATTAGGTGCAAGGGTGGAGGCTCCAGGGTGAAAACAAGTTCTTTTGCCAACTTTTGGGGGTAATAACTGCAAATTACCAAATATTATCATGATTAAAAAGAGACTTCTACAACACTGTAACTATGGCAACACATACATGATCTATTAACGGTCTGTTTATATCACTGATAGTAAAGATTGATGACACAGAAATAATCCAAAGTTCTTTTCACAAATGAAACAAAAAATGTCCAAAGTTAAACTTTGTCTTTACAAGTTTCATAATCATAACATCGATAAGGAGAAAAACCAATCCAACATTATTTTTATCATCTACAGATCCAAATCTATTGAGATTATTAAAGATATCATATAGAATGCATTATTTCTTCTCCCTACTGGCCAAATAATTTAATAGCAAAATCCAGAAACAAATATAAAGATATTTGTAATAAAGAAACAAATGTAAACTTCACAAATAACAACAAAAGCATGTATGACTTTAGTTTACTTCTTAACATAACAGTAATTGTTTCCATTACGGTTGTAGACATAAGAAACCAACTTAATGGTCATGACTGAGAGGATCTGCATTAATGATTATCACTACAGTTTAGTTTATGACTGTAGCTTTAAGTTGCTAGTATACAACATAATCTACCAACCTTTCGAAACAAAGATGTCTTCGAGATGGAGTACTTATTCCATCCACCATGTTTTCCACACTAGAAAAAGAAATATTAGACAATTGTCATTCCAACAATTAGAGATCAACAGCATAATGTGTTTCTTTATCTTAAATATAATATACTTGGAAAAGAAACTGGATAATGTTAGAATATGGTAAGCATCAAACATATTTAATATTCTTTCCTCAGTTACAATGACCTAGTTTGAAACATAATAGTATTTGCTCCACTTTTCTTACTTCAATTTTATACCTCTCTGCCATGTTGTAATGGTAAAGAAAAATAACCGTTCTCGTGGATTTTTAACCATGGGAAACCAAAGCTTTGAAGCAAGCATACAAGTGCAGTCGTCAGGGTATTCTGGATCAGGAAACTGTAGTGCTCACAATGAAAGATGCTATCTTTTACACTTTTAGACAGGACAATTAAAGTTTCTACATAACAGATTTGTACATAATTGTTTAGTTAGTTGAACAGCTTTCAAAAACTTCTAAAACTGTGCCTCAGAAAAATATGTGACAGCATTTGACTGGGCACACTCTCAAATTACAATAACTGGTTCCCCGGTAATCACCCTATGAAGGATCAAACTCATATTGACAGTGTGAAACTAGGCTGTTCACATGAGTTGATGTAATTAGTCAAACCCTACCACAGGACCACACTCATTTAAGAAAACAGGTTGGAAGCCAGTGTCCAAAAAAGATGCTACCATTCTTGGACAAATGGGAATCATAAGTCCCAGATGGTATGCAAATGATGGCTGTTACTGATATTGACTGTGTGAAAGTTTTGTGAGTGCATGAAATTTAAGTCAGCAGAAATTTGTCAGCAAAATCAGGAAATCCTATATTCATTGATCACATATCCTATGTGCGCTTTAATTATTCAATGACAAATGATTTACATTTTGGGGCTTTATATTGAATAAAACTGTCTGTCTCAAATTTAAGTTTGACTCAAATTAATTTATGATGAATGACTGTTTTTTGCTTTTTCTTGTGTTTCCATCTTGATTGACAATTTCATTGTCAGCAGGGATAAGTTCTTTTCTTCATTTCATCATGGAGATAAAACGTGTTATCCCAGTGATGCATTTCTCATGGATTTCAGTATAATTAGAGTTCATTCACCAAGTCGTCAGGACCAAATTCTTTACCGTTATGTGCATGCACAGATGCCATTTTCTCTTGATAAAAATAGTTTCCACAAATAATATTGGATTATTTCCATAATTTGAATAAGGACCCATACAACACCTCACAACTAACCCTTAGGATTGCCAGGAGAGCCCAACCCCACTGTCCAAGGGTATTTGATTGGCAAGTGGAAGGCTAAGGACCAGAGAAACATGTGATAGTGAAGCGAGTGTATCAGTCGGCGAATATTGTCAATACGGAATCCAGGACATAATCCCCCCGGACATAATCCCCCCCCAAAAACAAAAAAAAAACACCCCGGACATAAATAATCCCCCCCATCATTAACATTCAAACGGACAAAATCCCCCCTACTCATCTTTAGCTTTAGATTAAAGGTTCTTTAATCCTTGTTATCATGTTTTGATAGAACAGCTTCATTAACAATTGCAGAAGAGTTGGAGAAGATTGTTTTAGCTATGTAAACTGGCATAGAACTGGCAAAAAACGGACTAAATCCCCCCTACTCATCTTTAGCTTGGTTCTCCTGATCTTTGATCAACACTTAATCCCCAGATTTCTTGCATGGCATTGGTCGCTGTATGCGAACTGATGTTTGATGATATGATGTGCTATGATCAAATAACATAAATGACAAATGAACAAATGTCACATAATATAACCTCGCGTCATGGGTTTCCGTGGTATTAAGAAATTGACGACTATGAATATGATCGCTCATATTGCCAAGTCATATAAACATAACATAGTGTTAGACGACATACCTTTGTATCATTTAATGTCAATAAAACACTTTTGTCATTCTGAAGTTCTTGTTGTCCGTATCGGACGACAGGCGGCCATTGTGCACAAACTCTGGTGACGTCATATGTTTCCGTGGTATTTCCTACAGATCAAATTACGGGTGCACAGCACATGTCACAATCGCACACGTTGTCAACAGCCAATCCGGGAGTGTCAATGTAGGTTTACAGTAATAACGAAGGCGATAAATTGTAATACAGTAAACAATTTTGTAGAATTAACACAATAGTCACATTTCTTCAGCATAAATTTCCAGTTCATAAAATATATAGAGTTGGTCAACGGGATACGTGAAATGAAAAGTGAAAAAACAACTTAAGAGATGACCCTATCGGGCTTCATCAGTTTAAAAAATAGAGCTGGGATTCCCCCCTTAGGTCATGTGATTGTTTTTATTGATGACATCAGCTAGCAGAAGAGATATGTTTGGAAAACTTTGAAGCTGACTAAGTCTATAGAACATGTTTGTAAAGATCGCACAAAAAGTGCATTACGTGCTAGACATAAATTTGAATTAGTTTTTAATAGTAGATGACTGTACGTACGCAAATTGATGAAAGTCTGAACATTTTTGGCTCAGAGCCGTGCCGATCAACTGATGAACGTAAACAATCGACAGGTGGCGCGATTTGGTGAGTGGCTCATGAGAAATTATGTTATTAGAAAATACCATGGAAACATAAGTACCACGGAATCATATGACGGCATGGTATGAATAAATATATACTCATTCCTCATATAAAAATAAATGTCCAATGAATTATGTGTATGTGCTCAAAATATGTGCTATGTGCTCTTTGACATTGTTGAAATATTGACAAATAATTAATGATGTGAATGTGCTCAAAATATGTGCTATGTGCTGTTTGACTTTGTTGGAATGGGGGGTGGGGAGAGAAATTTGTCCGGGGGATTTTGTCCTGCGATGCACTTTTTTGGGGATTTTGTCCATTTACCATCGAGACATAATCTGCGCCCTAAAAAGTGCATTTTTGCCAAATCCAGGGTGTTAGTACTGACACTAGTGACTGTCGATTTTCTCAATGACATAGTGCTTTGGAGACTCACGTATCTAGGGATTCCATCATGGACCTTGGACGTCAGTAGCTGCTTTTGATTTTTCACTAAAATGCTGAATGACCGTTGTACATTGATATGACACAAACCACACTTTCGGATACCGGGCGAGAAACTCGCCCCTCGAAACAGAACTGCTGTCATCCCTGCCATTGCTCATAGTCTCAAGTTAGAGTGACCTGCCCTTGGATGCCATACAAAATTTGAAATGAACTATTCCAAGAAGATGTGGAATTGGATTAGGAGATCAAAATCGCATGTAACTTGAAGGACTGGTGTATATTTGCTTAACGTTTGTAGTGATGTTGTAATAGTAAATGTAGAATTGGAATCAATCGACAACCCATCAACAAGATTTTTTAAATCACGTACACGTGTATATGTACACAGTAATGGCAATATGGACCTATATGACTCTATACATACAGTATGATGAGACTTTTTGAAATATATCAAAACATCCATTATTTTTTAACAGCCATAAACCTGCACTAGCATGTGAATACTTTGTGGACTGTCGACTCGGAAGGCTATTATGGTGATATTAATAGTCCAATTGGCCGTCGTTCTCTGTTTCGTCTGTCCCAGATAAGATGACATATATGTCATATATGATATACATCACAACGGGTTGACAAAATTATGTCGCATCCATCGAATGCCCAGCACCGCAACTATCTGAAAATAGGTCCTGCAGCTTCATTCATTCAAACAGAACAGACCCCCAGAAATCTATGTTTGGCGACGAGACGAGGCGATTAAATAGATAGAGTAGTAAGTGGTCACAAACGGTCTGGGACGTTGATCATGATATGAATCACTGATATGTCAGGTGCAGGCACGATAATTTAGATTATATTGCAGAGGCGGATCAAAAGAACAAGAGCGTTTAGTCAACAATTGTATATGTCAGAGGCGACTGAATGGATCAGGTGGTCAGGCTTTATGACTTGGTTGATGGGCGTTTCGTGTCGGTGTATCTCAACTGCCTGGATCAATGCTCGTGATGTCCATCCAACATTGCACTGTTGGCCCGGACTGGATTAATTAAGGACCGTCGTTAAAATCGTGTTAGACGGCCGACTACATCAACTAACATCAAAATTATCAGATCTATTACATATGTATCTAACTCAGGGTATGAAATAAGGCCCGTCCGACGGCCCCAGACGGGCTAGATTTCTGACGGACGGTCTAAATTTACAGCTAGCCAGCCCGATGGTCTGGTCAAAATTGTAAATAACATGTTCCGTACATCTGAGTAAACACTGAGATATTTTCTTTGGATTGTCTGGTCTGGTTAAATCAATTTTGGGCTGGTAACATTTTGACCGGCTTTTTGACTTATTTCATACACTGGCCGGCCCTAACTACTTAAATGCAAGCCAGTATCTAACTTCACCTTGAAACATGCATGAAGAATAAATTACTCTAGTCTGTTTTAGAGGTAGATCTGACCCATAAGCGACCATATACAACATTCACCAAAGGCCTCAAAGTTATCAACAGTTGGAAGCGCTCGTTAAATCTCCCCTTCGTGTCAGTTTAAAAGTGTGAGTGAGTGAGTTTAGGTTTACGCCGCTGTTAGCAATATTCCAGCAATATTATGGCAGGGGACATCAGAAATCGGCTTCCCACATTGTACCCATGTGGGAATTGAACCCGAGTCTTTGGCGTGACGAACGAAAGCTTTAACCACTAGGCTGCCCAACCGCCCCCAGTCTGAAAGAATATGTAGAGAGGTGAACAGGAGTTAATGTCGCATTCAAGATTGTTGCGCTGACATGCCGACGAATGTGCACATGTGTCTGGCTTGTATTAGTTTCAATTTATGTCGGGTTTATAGTGACATAGCCACGGATACACCATGCAACAGTTTATTACATTGACACAGATTATGTCAAGTGCAGGACGACCGGTCCAAGATTTCAACTAGTAATGGCGAGCACCAGACAAGGTACCAGTTTTAACCTCTTAGTCTTGCGAAGCTGCAGGGAATCAAGCAGTCACGTCCACGTCAATCAGGCAGACGCTATACCCACTGTACCCTGGAGACAAGAACAGCTAATCTGCTCCATGGCGTCAGCGAATGTGAGAGTGTGCGTGATTCTGTGCCGCTTTTACCAAGTTTACAGTAATATCTGGACAGAGGGATGCAATAACGTCCTCCACAAAGTGTAACGAAAAACGGTGGAAACTTGAGGACAGAGATAACAGCATCATGGAGAGGGCACCCTGGCCTCTCCTCACACTTGTCTCACACAACATTGATTACTTATTTCCCCAAATACACTACGCAAGTAATATGGTTTCTCGGACCCTCTCAAAGCGAACGTGGTCTTTAAAGCATGGACGGGTGATTTGTTTACCAAACGATCCACATGCAGACGTACGCACACGCACAGACACACGCACGCACGCAATGAAACACCTTATTTCGGATGTGAGCACATTTACCGTTTGCACACCTGCATATGACAGACGGTCACATGCACTCATGATCAATCCTTCACCGCGTCCACAATAGCGACAGGGGCACACGGTCTATACCGCTCATGGCAACTAATGACAGCACGTCGTCACACAGGATGATAGGTATGTTAAACACCAGCCGCAGAACGAAAATCACTTGTTTACATGACCCGCCAGTCATTCCATCATTTGTCACTACCCCGTGAATCTTGTTATCAAAACATACACTACATATAAGTGATACATTTAGTTACATAGGTAACTTTTTCACAACTGTTTAAAAGAGAGTTTAAAACTTGATACAAGAAACATTTCGATGTGTCTAAAGGTTATTATTGTGTGTCACCAAAGCTAGGCTGAACGACTTTTGTCGATTCACGATGTTAGCATTTTTTTCAGGTTTGTTAAGTTCCGAGTCTGTAACAATCTTTAAGCATCAAGAACGTATTCAAAATACCAACCCTCACATGCTACTATCCCATGAGGACTACCATTGGATTTCACTCCTGATGCAGCACTTAATCGTCATTGTTTTGTGTTGAACATCACGCTCAGCATATTACAACTACTAGTACATGGCGGCGGTTTGTAAATACTCGAGTCTGCGCCAGACAATTCAGTCATCAAAAATGCATCTGCATCGATCTACACAAATAGGATACGATGACATGTGTCAATCAGGTCAACGAGCCTAACCATCCGATCCCGTTATTCGCCTCTTATGACAAACATGGGTTGCTGAAGACCACATTCTAACCCGGATCTTCACGTGTACCGGGCGAAGATGCCTATGACATTAAGTTGGTATTTTCTCTACAAAGTATTTCTCAATAAAACCAAAGTCCAAAGTTTGTCATAACTTTAAGTATTTAGACTTCGGCCAAATTTGGTCTTCAAGGGGGATCACGTAGAACAATTTCATAGAATATATCCTGTCGAAAGACAAGATCTCGTTCATGGTCCCTGGGCCGGGGAGCAGACACGGACAAGACAGTCCTGGCGAAAACATTTATTCTACTAGTCATTAAACCCGCGTTTTCTTGGTCTGTTGACTCAAGTGTTATGATGTATTTCACTTCAGCAGTTACTAGTGATTACCCTCATAACAAAGAGACTCTGTCTCTTTTTCCCACATTGTCATAACATCATCAAAATCTAGACTTGACACGGGCACCTGGCCGTGAAGCCTCCTTTCGTGTCCATAGTATTCACGTTTGGGTCATTTTGGTTCTTATTGTGACATTTGAACAAACGTGCCATACAAACCACCCTTGCGTTACGACATTTGGGACACAATCAAATCTAGGTCAGACAACATGAACCAAACCAATATATTATAGGTCAAAAGTGTGTAGATGTTCAAAATATGAGATGGTGGATGGGTGAGTTGAGTGCACAAGTTAATATATTGAGCGCTAAGTTAGTATCTTGAGCGCAAGTTGTATTATATTAAAAGTGGGCTTTGCTCGAACAAATTGATAGCGTGGACTGCACACATTGTACCCATATGGGAAATAAACTGCGCGCGGTTTAATCGTGAAACAGGAAGCCCTAGACCTGGCGTCTATTTTGTTTAATGCTAGCACAGTGGCAGCTCACTAACTTACCAAATCCCGCAGTCATACAAAGGGTACATTTATTGGAAACAGCCATTTTGAACTTGGGGGGGAAAGAAGAGATAATCATTACATGTCAATAGTTAATGTGACAGAGATCATTGTGATCAACAAATGATAGATCCGGACTGCATTAGGGACCAGGCGTTTAATAAAAGAAGAACAGTAGTATTTATGGCAATACAATATGTTATTTATGCTTACCTACAATCCCGTATTGCTGAAGGTCGAGGGCTGGTTACGTTGTCTGTTTGTCTATATTCCTTTTTATCTCTATTAAAACGCGAGTGTTTTTTGGAGAGCCCTGAGTAGCTCGCTTGCATGGCAAGAGGTGCCACTATACCAACCCACACAAAACAAGACCTGAATGAATAGAGACGAATTTATTACACAGTCACTGAATGATATACATAATTAGTCTGCTCTTGAATATACACTCAAGTTTTAAAGCACGTTATAATCATTTTTAGAAGTACATACATATCAGGAAAAGCAATGCTTTAAAGAATTACCAAAAATACATTAGTCACGATAAATATCAAGGTAGACCATCTCATACTTTAGATTAAAATTTAGACATAATAGAAAAGGATTTTAATAAAATAGAAACCAGATTAAAAGTGTCTTACCTATTACACAACCACATAATTATTAGTGACTGCCTGTCGTCTAAATTTATGCCTATTCCAGCTATCATAGATAATCACATTTACTGATTAAACTGACAGTAAAGTCGTTATTGTGAACTTGAGATTATACCATTTAGTGTTTAACCGAAGCATCGATGTCTATAAAAGAATTACACAAGATACATCACTAACATTAGTCACGATACGTATCAAGGTACACCATCTTATGCATCAGTTTACCTGCCACTGAATAGAGCACACCCGACATACTCTAATAAGAGTGGGCGGTCACACAGGATATACAGTACACAACTACATATTCAAAGCAGCGTAGTGTTAATTGGTATTGAAGTAAACTATCATAAACAGTGATACAGAATATCTGAGAAATACAAGTACATGAACGGACGCCACGTTCCACACAGACCTGAAAGTAGTGCCAAGGGTCGTAACCTAT